TAGCAGACACTGAGTGCCTTTGACTTGCATTTGGCCAAACACAAAAAACAGCTGCGTTTCCAGTTTCCCAAACCAACCGAGAAAAATCATGCAGAACCTACATTTATGTGTGTGTATCTTTTTATTTGACAAATCAATAAAATAAAAAAAACGTATGCCCCGAGCCAAATGTTTTGTATTTTTTTGCCAAATTGTATTGTTTAAAATTTTTGTGTGTGTGAGAAAGACGGCTCTTGTGTGTTTCTATTGCAACAACCAGCTGATTGAGATGTAATATTGACATGCACATGGACAGTATGAATCTGACACTGAATTAGTACATGTGCATATTCCAAATACATGTACATGTGTATGGGCCCTACACTAATTTTTGGGCTATAAAAATTAAGAGTAAAAAAAAAATATTTTACCCAACCAACCACGGTACTTTATTTTTCAATGTACGTGTAATAGGAAACACAACATATCGTGAGAAAATGGTATCGTTACACCCCTAATCTATGTGAATACTTTGGCTCACACTACTTTCATTTTCTCAAATGGGTATTATCAGATGAAGCAAGTACAACATGTATGTCTAGAAGGCAATAGCTGCAAACTTCAATTTCAAATTAAAGTTCCTGAATATGGTTGATTCTTGTTTTAACTAAGTCACACTGGAACAGAATGGTATCTTCCATGGTTTTCAAATCTGGTTGGCAGTAGCAAGGAACGATTGCAAATATTATTACTGCGAGTTTGAGCAAATTTCATACAATGGGTTAGCCTCCTGTCTACAATTCACAAAGTCCTTCCCCACATTAAGTATGGGTCGGGTCTACTAGAGAATACCTACCCAAACAGATAAACCGTGGCAAAAGAAAGCTCCTCCCATCAGGATACGTGAACGTCTCTCGTGATGGCTTTGGAGTATCATCATGAACCCCATTTATTCTTGAGGAAGGATCCTCACTAGCAGAACAATTATCAAAAGCTCTCCATTGTCAGACTCTTCCATCGCAACTTGATAAACAAAAATGCCTGCCTCTTCATCATGAAGGGAAACCTCAACTTGGTCGGACAGGTCACTCAGACTACCGTGGACGAGTTCAATGAATCCTGGGAGAATGACCTCATGAGAACTTGAAACAACATCAAAACTGTTTGTCTTAACTGATCAAGATTCCCCTTTTGACTACAAGCTGACTTAACAGATCATAACCAACGGAGAGCCAAGGACCAATTTTCATCGCCCATACATGTACATCACTTTTAACATAACTCTTGTTCTGGGCAATCACCCTTAGAATATTACATTCAAGAATAACTGGGAATTGATCTCTTCATTCACTAGGAGATGCAGGAGTGCTCCTAACTGACACAAGGAAACTAGCTTCAAGCTTCTGCCCACACACTTCTACCATAGTTTCAAGGTACATGTAGCTAACAACATGGATTTCTAGATTGTTTGCACCAAGAAGCCTAAAATATTTGCTGACATCGAAGGATCCATTTCGCTTCATTAGATGATCATGATAGAATTTCTATGACATGATAGACGATTCTGCCTCCGCATCGAGTACACAATTCATGGGTACCCCAGCTATGAGAATTTTAGCAGTCAGACTTTTTGAAATTAGCTTACGCCTATCTGCTTGTGTCATTACCCTATCAATTTCGGTTTCTCCGCAAAGCGCTCTCTACGATGGAGGTATCCTGTTTTCCGACGTATTTTTAGCACTCTTGCTGTATTGTTTATTCTCTTGTGGGTTAGATTTTGTGCCTGCATCACCTTGCGCACACTCGAATGCTTTCCGTCTAAAGCATGCTTCGATGGCATGACCTGTCTTCCCACAAAAACTACAATTTGGGCCATGGGCACGTCTGTCTGACCTATGAGTGGCGAAGTCAGAGGTTGTGTTGTTTTTTAGTTTTTCAACTGCATCAGTCTACGATTTCAAGCGTGCATTGGTCTCAGTTCGTTGCATGAGTACTGTCAATTGCTTTTGATCCTCTGCCAATCCAGTCAATAACTTCTGTTCCTTGCTTCTGCATGCAACCGGGCTCACTGCATCGATAACCACAGCATCACTTGCTTGACCGACTGAATAATGTTCAATTCTCTGTTCTTTATTCTGACCATCATCAGTATCCCGCAACAGCTTATGGGCTAGCTCACGGAATGCAAAGAGAAAAAGCACTGCCTCATCATGGCTTATTTTGCGCAATTCTTGTTTCATTGCAGTGTCTCTACTTCCCTGAGTGAACTGCTCCTTCAGCATGCCGTCTCCTACATGTAATTGTGCAAGTGCAGATTTTTCACTGGTATCAGTCGATGCCGACTCCATACAGTCACATAGCCTGATGAGAGCCCGGACAAAATCAGTGAGAGATTCATCCTCATTCTGATTTCTCGAATAGAAAGCACAATTGAGTGTTTGTACCATCTCAGGAAGCCCGAACCTTCGCCTTAGTAAGGCCAGCACTTTCTCAAGTGTCTCTTTTGTATCTATGGGACAACAGACATGACAGAGGATTTCCTCTCACGCCACGCCCCGAGTGGTCAATTGCAAAACTAATTTGCTCTTCCTCGTAGAGGCCCCGTTGCCAGGTATACGTCTTCAAATCCTCAACCCATTCTTTCAGGGTTGGGTCACCACACTTCTTTGGAGTGCCACAGAATTTAAGGCAGTTTCAAAGTAGAGGCCCTTTGATACTTAAGATTCTTGAAGGCATTAGCTAATGTCTCGGCCAAGGCTTCATTAGAGTGTTTAATTACATCTGTTAAGAGAGCTGATGTGGCCACGGCTACTCTTACGTCATGTGTGCCTACACAGCATGGCTACAGAATGACTAAATATACTTAGCACTCTAAAACGTTAACAAATATACCAGCAAAAAGGGTGTAAAATATCCACCGATTCAACAAACAACATTAGCAAGACTATTACAGCATGATCCAAAATATGCACAAATGCTAAATCTCAGGTGGGCACATTGGAATTCCTCACCAAAAGATAACAATTTACAATCATTACAGCTTTAGTAAAATCTACAACATTATACGAGTGTCGGGGATCTTCATCAGTGGAAAGGAACCCTACATGTACTGTACATCCTGTCTACGACGCCATTTCTGTAAGCTTGGAAGCTTGTGGGCAACGCCAGGTGGCAGATTCCCTTGAGGAAGGAGCTGTATAGTCCCCTTTAGGGTGGAGGATGTGTGTCCTCCGGTAAGAGAACTCCCAGAAATAAATGAGGGATGAAACAGACCTCCTGATCTTGATTTATTTATTGCTGATTGTGTCTCCAATTAAAATATCCCAACACTTGTAGGGTTGCAGTTAAATGTAAATGTGGTGTGGTCCACTGCATTGGGCTGAAATGGTAACCCAAACTGTTTCAGCCAGCCTGCGTTCACTCCTGGTGTAAAGGAGAAGAGGAAGGTTTGAAAGAGGGCCCTCTCAGGCTCAACATCGAGAGTAATTAATACCCAAAATGAGGATCCCCACATTAACAACTTTGAATTGATAAAAAGACCATAAAATATGACAAGATGCAATGGTTTCAGTCATCTCACTCAAACAAGAGGCTTCTGTTCTTGGCAAGATTGAGCTTTTTTAAAATACAGTAGCACAAACAATGGAAAAATTTTATGTGTACACATAAAAATAAATGTTCAGCTCCAGTTTCCAGTCCTAAATGAAATTCTCTTGAAGTAGAAGTACTGTACGTGGCATTCTTTGCACATTGTTTTCTGCTTTAGCTTAGAGGAAACAAGTTGCACATCAAATATGAAAAAAAATGAAAACAGTTCAGCTCCAGAGTCAAAAAGAAAAAAAAAATAAACTTAGACTTGAAATTTCTTATGTTTACCCCCTCTGCTCCCCTGTCCGCATCATACCGGTACATGTACATGTGGATTATAATGCAGAGATTTAACATACAGGAAGGTCAACAAAGGTGTGATTAACTTCACAGAGATCTTACAGTTCTTGATATGTGTATGAATATCTGAATGATAAATCCTGTGCTTTGTCTCATTGGATGGCAAGATCTTCATGTCTCGTTGGATTGCAAGATCTTCATGGGGTAATAAGCACGACCAGTGACGGCCCACATGACAGACCAGGGTTGGGATATCCATGAAAACATTCATCTGCGGGCAGGTCGTGACAAGGAATGAGCAAAATGGTTTGACATGTTTGTTCCATTTCAAAGCAGGGATCATTCCATGTCAATTCAACAGTCAACACGCTTTTGGACCCGAATTTAAAGTCACGGCTTGAAATGAAATACAGTGTGCTGATTGGATTCCTTGAGAAACCCCCAGAAGCAAAAGTTTTGATTTCGAATTTTTTTTGGCTGAATGAAGGCCACTTAAAGAGCATTAAAATGATGTAAATGTTATCTCCGTGGGTGCTTTACTTCTGGGGATATGGCTGTCCAAACAAAGCAAGTCAAT